ATCTCTCTCTCTCTCTATATATATATATATATATATATATATATATATATGTGGTAACATAACTTCATTCATGTTGGATGCAATTGCTTGCTATAGGGCAGAGGTAGAACATATATGCTAGAACCCGTATGGTGGTGAACTGTACCTGAAGAGGATAAAGCTAAAGGAAACTCTGGTGGAGGTCCGAAACGATTCTGAGGTGCGAGTGCGAATTGATCGTCTGACTTTGGTATAGCGACGAAAGATTAATCGAACTATCTAACAGCTGGTTTCCTCGGAAGTTTAGTTTAAGATAGTTGGAATACGTGATGAAGTACTTACATTCAGTAAAGCAAATGACTAGAAGATTTGTGGGACTAAATGTCTTCAATCTATTCTCGAACTTTCAGTGAATATGACGTCTCGCTTGCTTAAATGAAGCGTAGACATTGAATGTATCCTCCAAGTGGGCTATTTTTATTTGAGGAATTTTTTTTTTTACAGAAGAGGAGGAGGAGGTTGCAGTTTCAGAAATTCGAACAGTTGTGCGCACTGAACGACATGTGCACGATTCAAAAGATGGTGAGCGAAGTTTTGATACTGGTGGGTTCTAGTCGGTTTTGGTGACAATTAAACTTTATGAAGTTTGTGGTTGAAAGTAAACAAATTTTATTGCAGGTCCTATTGTGGAGGAACGCACAATAACAACTACATATGAGGATGATATTGCTGTAAATGAAGAAATTGTTGACAAGATAGTGCCTCTCAACGAAGAAGAGCAGGAGAAATGGGATCGAATGGTTCGAGAAGTGGAGATGAATTTGGAGGAGCAAGTAAAAGCTTCATTCAATTCTCATTTCTCACTATGATTTTACAGTAGACTGAATAGAGAACCTTTTAATGCCTGGCTTTTGAGCCTTGATCTGAGGTGCTGCAAAAAGCAGAGTGAAAAATATCACATATCTTTTTGTAGGATTTGTAGCAACAATATCTGAACATTTTTTCACGCAGTGGATTCAACTAATTTAAAAATTACGGAGACATTGCACTACTGCCAATAATATTATAAACAAGTAGAAATTATTTCGTCAAATGCAACGCTTGTTTAAGTAGGGGATCATTACTTGAAGGAAGCACCAAAAGAAGGAACGCTTAACTATCAGTTAATACATGGGGAGAAAAAAAGCGATGATGGTGTCACCCTGAAAACGACAATGGAGAGTAGTCATATAACGCAGGTTTTACCCGATGAAGCTAAAATATCTAAAGAAACAGGATTAAGTAGCGGGGATGCAAGTATTGTTATGACTCCGGCCGAAAAGAAGGATGATCACATTATAGGTTCGTGATTTTCTTTATAATTTTAACTTGCTTGAAATCAAAAAGTGGTATTTTGATTTAGAGCCTTATATTTAAAAAACAGAAGGTGTAATAAACTATAACTTCCATATCTAGCCATATTATTTTAGGTCGTCTTAGGATGATTTATTTTAACAGTTCCGTACGATTTTAAATCATTTGGTTAGGAAGACAGGGTAGTAGTTGTTTTGGTGTCTTTCATTTTTGATATGGTTATATTGCCAGTACTACGCGAAAATCCTACTGTGGATAAGTCATTTAGGTCCATTCACATGTTTGTACTTTCCCCTCTATCATGGCTGTTCTAATGTGGCTAGAAACTATTTATGTAATCTATCTTTTAATCGGTTTGTTGTTTCATAGGGGGAAATTGAATTGCCTATGGTATTCAGTGGGCTTTACTTTTTGAATATGGTTAGCCACTTTTTTAAAAATGTCTCCTCCAATAAAGTACACTGACTGGCTGTTGCGGTAATGTATAAAAATGGATAATAGGTGGTCAAGCACAGTTAAAAGGCGTGTATTCCTGAAAGATCTCCTTGCGTATTTGCCTGCGCTGCTGATAATTGCGAGGGCATAAATAAATTTTATTTAAAAGAGGGAATAGTTTTTATTCTGAGACATACGAATAAACTGGTATTTGAATATCCTTTATCACGGAGCCTGGAGGAAGGGCAGAAGTTCTTGTTGGACCTTCAGACACCCTTTATTCTAATATATTTGATATGAATCTGCACTTCTGCCTGCTGCACACAACACTTTCGTTTGGGTTGGAATGGAGGGTGTGGAAATATGAAATGGTGGGGAATACTGACCATTATCTGTACAGCTCTTTCTTCCATTGCTTGCACTATTGCTAATTAAATATTTCTTGTGATATACTATCAGAGTTGATCTGTTAACGCTGTTGTTGATAGCAGCGTTGCTCTTCGTGCTTTAAACAATTCTTGTCGTAATAGTTGCTTATGTATCTGTTCTGTAGTAATAAGAGGGAGAGGGATGAGGAGTTCTGGAAGGTCAAATTGAGTCAGCTGTTTTGCAAATCGTTTCTATATCATTTGAGATAATTTACTTGCGAGATTGTGATCAATGAGGCATTGGAAGAGAGAGTTGTTTTGAATTCGTTCGGAAACAGGGATGGAGAACAAAGTGTGCAGCAGAACACAAGCATCAGTGCAGCGCAGTAGCAGTAGCACATGATGCCGTTGATTTTTCAGACGTGATGGAGGAAAGGCGAACTGATGAAGAGGCCAAAGGGCAGAGCGCTCATGAATAATCTGGATTCACAAATTGATTTAAATCGCAATCTCGCACATGCCTATGTTGCTAGTATTTAATGAAATTTTGCAAAGCATAATTTGAGTGCTCTTTGGGCTTCCCATATTGTTAAAGCATTTTCCATCATCCATTCACTTTTTTTTGCTGCTGTAGTCTGTAACTGCTACTCTTGATAAATTTGCTCCAACATCTGACAGGAACACATCAAGCACAACAGCTGACTCTTATCTACTCTTCTCCTCCCCTCAACCTCTGTTTTCTCCCTATCCGTTTAGTGCTAAACAATGTGCGCTTCAGAGGTTGCCACACATAGCTTAGTCCTCGCCGGGATAAGTGATTCTGGTACGGTTATCGTTAACGGGATCATGCTGGATTGTTATCGCTTGAGCACCAGTTTGTCTTTTCATCATATAGAATCTGTTACAAAATTCAACGCTGAAGAAGAGATATCATCCAAACGTAAGCAAACCATCGATGAATCAGGTGACATTGCTGGAGCTCCGGCAGTGACCACTGAAATTCAGGATGGAAGTATGAGTGAGGAAACAATTTCTGCGACACAGCAGTGGGAGAGTCATACGGTGACCACAGGAGTAGATCCACAGATCCAAATTGAGTCAGAACCGAAGCATGACCAAGATACTGATATGATGAAGCCAATTGCATCTAGTGATCTGTTTGAACGCAAACGAGCTTCATCGCTTGCTGCTGCACTCTTTTCCGGCGATGGCGAACCAGGATGTAAAGCATATGTGCAATTGATGAGTCCCAGTGCTGCAGCACAAGTGATTGAAGCCTGTGAGAATGAGAAGTTCGACGGGATGGAGCGATCTGTTGAGTCAGTTATGAGCCGTTTGCTCTTCACTTTGAGTTCGCTAAAAATGAGCGACCCTGAGCGGCATGCGGCTGCAGTTCGTCGCTTGCAGGATCTTGAGGAAGAATTGCGCGCTGCTGGGGCTGTTTGTCCTCCAGATACGACTATTTCAAATGCTGTCTCTAAAATGCTTGCCTCAGCATCACCTGCTTCTGATATTCAGATTCGTGTTAATTCCTCTCAGCATATCACTACCACGAAATCTATTTTGGAAAAGGAGACGCCTGGTATGGATGGTCTGGATGCAGCAACAGTGCAACATTTGCAGCAACAGCTTATGTCAAATATGAGTCAGATTTGCCTTTAGTGTGACAAGTTTATCTTTATATCAATTAATATTTCCGGTGTTTGCTTCCCCTAACTAATGCTTCATTTTACAACTTATTCCCTCCTTATTCGTCTACCATTAATAGTATTTCAGATGTACCAGAAACTCCTTTATCTTCCACAGAGCCGAATGCCTCAACAGGTGAGCCATTTTCCCATTTCTTCATTCCTGAGAATCACAAGTTGATGATATACTTTCCCTTCGTTTTGCTGTTATTCTTTGTGAGTTCACCATACACATTTATTTCTTCCGTTTCAATGCAGAACTTACTTGCTTTATTCCAGTCAAAATTATTTGAGTGGAAAGAAGGAGGTGCAATGTAGTGCTGCGTATAAAGTATTCAGAAGAAAAGTTATTTCTCATCATGAATTTTTCTTTGCATCAAAAATGATCGTTTGGAAATATTTGAGTGGGGAAGAGAAAGTGCAAGTAAGAACTGTGGAAGGAAAATCCTCAACTTTATCTGTTAGTTGACGATAAAACTGATATCCGAGAGCTGTTGAGTAATAAGTCTTTCTCAATTTTAAGTAACTGATCAGAAGCATGAAACCATGGCGGAGGGCTTTACAAGTGAAGATGGCTCAGTAGTTGTGTCAAAGAAGATGACGCGCGTTGTAACTACGACACGGACAACACTTCCAGGTTCATATTCGATCTTTTTAGTGCAACTTTTTTCAACTTCCCTAACACATAGGCATTAAGCATTTACTTATCAGTTGCATTGATACTAGTAGTACGTAATAAGCACTTACGATTCTAGCCGGACGGCGAAATGAATCCCATTTCAGTTCGCCGTTCGGCTAGAATTGTAAATGCTTACTGTGCACTGCTAGTGTGTCAGTGCAGCTAATGAGTTTATGTCGACTAAATTTTATTTCTTAATTTGGTTTTCTTCATTCAGAAGTAGTCGCTACAGATTTCTGCTTCTCTTCTAATGACTCGTTTATGAAGAAGTGGTGCACATCTTCAACAGAAAACAGAAAAAGAGAAAAGAAAAAAAAGAAGCAGGGCGAATAATTGTGTGATCTGCCTAGCACCTTCACCAGAAGTTTACTCGAAATTTGGACATTTTGTTATATTTGATGTTTCTGTTGTCACAGTTCTTGGTAGTACTACTAATTTATAAATATTTCAAATATGACGCAAATGGTTTATCAGTCACAGTCAAATAACTTTTGTTCTCAGCTGTTACCTGACTTGTTCTTTTAAGCAAATCTTTTTGTTTTATGGTTTGGAATTTGAGAGAGCATAAATTAATGTTGGGAAGAAATTCAGATAAGCCAACAATATAGCCAAGCTGTTCGTTAATGATGCAGCACTAATAGTATTTCCTGTATTTGTTGGTTTTTTATTGAACTGTTGAAAATATGTTGCAGGAGAGAAGGCGGAATCGAATGCGGGTGAGTAAAAGATGAAAAAAAATTTATCTGGACGTCTTGCAATCTGCCAGCTTTCTAGTGATATAACGTTTACTACTACTGCATGTACGCGGAGTGCACCTTTTACGTTATGCAAAATTGAGTGTTCATTCAAAGTGGAGTTGCTTTCGTTTATTTGTTTTTGTGATGTTTATCGCTGTAGTCATTTTGCTTGGTTATGTTTATTTTCAGCGTTATTTAGGTCGTAGCCTTTAGTCGATCGATCTGACGTGCTTCTGTTTCATTTTTGAATTTTTCTTATTATTATTACAGTGAATCGATGACATTCATTACAACAACTGTTCATTTACTGCTCACGTTTTCATTTTACTCAAGAATGCATTTACTTTGGGACGTGTTGGTGTTACTGGTTAATTGGTTGGTGTCATGTCCTTTTCACTCGATGCTTCTTTCACACTTCCTTTTGGTCTTCATTTAGGAAATTTGATACGATTGAAAGTGAACGAACAGGTGTACTCGGGCAGCGTAGATCCCGGTGACCAGCACATACATTTGGTACCAATTACCAAGCAGCAACAAAAGTTGGATTCGAGCGAACAACAACAGCAACAAGAGCAGCATTAGAACCATAGCCTTTCAATGAGCATCATTTGTACACAGTGCAATTATTTTTCGTTTTCTCTTCATCTGTTTGCTTGTCTTAGCACTACTTTTTATGGTCCGTCTATTGTTATCACGGTAAATGGTATTGTTTGCACGACCCATTAGAATATTTCGGTATTGTGCAACCCCACTGCTCAAGTTTTGAGTCGAAATCCATGTTTTTGAGGGTTTCTCCTAGTAAGCAAGCAGGAGGGAAGTAAGCAACAAAACAGATGGTGACAAAAAGGAGCAAAGAAACAAATGGTAAGGAGAGAATATTATGAGCTGTTTTCAAACGTAAATTGGCGGAGTAGTGAGCTCAAGCTAGGATTTAGTGCAGGAAGTATTCTTTATCTACTTCTTTGCAGTTATTATTCGAGCGCATGTTTATCATTTGGCAGTTGCTGATGCAGCCAGCGCTTTGTCATTTTTTGTTTCTTCGGGAAACAAAAATTTTACTCACTCTTCCTGTCATTTATTTTCCGTTTCATCCCAATCTTCACAAATGTCACCGCTGCTGTTTGCTATTGCGCCTGTTCCTTTCACTACTCCGTATTTTTGATTATTGGCTAAATTTCATCTAGAAGTTTAAATGAAACATCTTGTCATTGAACAACCCCATATGGTATCAGAAAGTTGTGCTCTTTACCGTGTTTTTATTTTACTTGAGAAAAAATGAATGAGCATAGGAATTGGAGTATTGGACCGTTACCTCAGAAGTAATTCGGCTACATTCGCTGCAACGTATGACCCCACGCAGTCCACATGTTACATGTAAAGCTGGCACACTGGTTTGGAAATTGGTGCATTCACATCAATGCAGAAAACAAACCAGGTCTTATTAAGACTGTAGATCCGAATATTCCTAAGGTCTAAATGGATCCTCCTATCATTTAGATCATGAGAAAACATAATTTTAGGAGGAATAGGGAAATTTTAGTGTTTTGGGAACGGGGTTGTTAAAAAAGAGTGTGAAGGCTGTGCAGAAAGCACCAACTTTCTGATCGCCATATATGGACTATCAGAGTAGAGGTATAGTACTGAAAGCGTAGGCCTCAATTCTTCTAATCACAGTATGAGAAACTCCGTTGTTTGGGATTCTTCATAGATTTGAGGTCTGTCATTTCCAATTAAAAACGTTACAAATGAATGCATTACTAAAAAATACAAATTAGAAATAGATTAAAAAAGTTCGAGGCACTATTACTCTAAGTGCAGGTAACATCTGACGTCGGAATGGTTGGGCTATAAATTGCCTACACGATGGCCAATTTTTAAATAGGTTTTTTTTCGATAAGCAAGTGCTACTTTAAAGTTCGCAAGTATTTGAGTGATAAATGAAGTCCTTTTTTTACGGATTGGAGTAGAGGAGAGAAACAGTTGGGGAAGGCGCTCCAGCTTGCATTATGATGAAGTCGTCTTTTATACTGCAGAGAAGAAGTCATCGACGTTATGTTTTTAATCAGAACTTCCAATTCTGAACTTTCTGTTGCATAGTCAAAGCTTCTGGGAAACACGGATTAGTATAACATTCTTCGGAGTTGAAATGTAGTGGACTGTCGTGAATGCGGGATTTCATTTCATGGGAATTCAAAAGAAGAAAGATTCCTCACCAGAACCACTTACCTCAGCGTTGTAGTCTCTTATACTGTCCCTGCATTCCACTTTAATTCACATCCCTCTCTACTTCCAAGTTACCTCAATGCCCCTACACTTGTCGTTGAAATCTTTCGTTCCATCTACCTGCTGGTTAGATTGTTCCGCTTTATCTTGCAATACCCTTCCCTTAGCATGCTTGAAGCTTTCGGGAATATGGCTCTGTATATTTTGATATTATCAGATCATTACTATTCCTACAACATAAGCCGCTGACTGGAATTCCACAGAGACGACACTGACAACACCACCAAAATTTTGATTTGATAAATTTGAAACATTACAAATCTTTATTTATATTTATAACAGGCTAACACAAACATAGATTCAACTGTGTAATCACCAACATAAAAGTGTAGATATACCAATCAGTATTACGAGGAGGGGAGGGGGGGGGGGGAAGGGGGAGTACATTAATTTCATGCTGAGAGGTGAGAACATTCATTTTGCTTGACATGAGGATACTTGGAAAAATTTTGAAACACGTTTGATGGAAATTTGTGCAAACGTTCGTTTGAAACTGCTCGCTCTTGCCATTTTTCCTACAGTATATCAATCCGTAAAATAATGTATTACCGGTTTGAATCACGAGGTAAAAAAGCATTCGTGATGCACTGTAGCACTTTTTAATTTTATCCGAATTGATGCATCCGACATTAGGAATTTCAAATGGATGGTTTCCATGTGTGCAGAACTTTTTCGATATCATTTCAGGGTACATTTTGCTGTATTAGGTAGTTGAAGTACGTTGTTCGCTGGATTTCTTATTCTCTTTGTTTACTGTATTTTATAGAATTATTGAAACTAATTAATGCACTGTTTTTTGCTATTTTGTGATAGACTCAATATTCAAGTGCAAAATTTTTCAGGCCGAGTTTCAAGTGCTCTTGATACGATAGGGTCCGTCAGGGAACGTATTGCTATATTTGAAACATTATCTACGGATAACCAGCTTGTGTCAACTCGTAAGTCGGATAATTCAGCAGAGTTAGCGGGATTTCTAAAACATGACAGGGACAGTCCTTTTCGGGAAGGATCTAGTGAACCTGATGATGAACCGAAAACAATCCCTTACAAGCCGGAAAGTGATCAATCCGATGCAAAAGAAACTGGCAAGTTATTTTTATTCGCTCAAATTAAAGAGACAACTGGCCATTTAGATGGGTTAACGAAAGCACAAAGTAAGACTTATTGCGGGTATAATGGGTCTCAGAAAGACAGGTATGATGTCCAAAAATACAGTTATGGATCAGATCAGATAGCTGCACAAGAATCTGGTCAGCAATCCAGGACTGAAATGCAAAAACATATACCCAGTGAACGTAGGGGTACACCAGAAACAGTGGGTGCAAAACGGACGAAACAGAAAAATGATAATAAAAGTGTAAGAAATACAGAAGGGCAGAAACTGGCTAAATGGGAACAAGAACAAAGTACAAGTCTTCCTAATGAATTGCAAGTGCTCATGCAAAGACGATTCCAGAAAATAGTTGAGGCGGAAGAGGCAAAGAAAGTCAGGGAATTGGTAAACAAAACAGAAGAGGAACAGATATTGAAACCCGTAATTCCTTTCGGAATTGATTTGCAACAAACAGTAACTCAGCCAACTAAATCTAGCAAGTTAAAAGGTTTGCAAGAAGTACGAACACAAAGACGGGACCAGGAAACGTGTTCTGAAATCTATGCAGTTGAAGGATGGGAAGCCATTGATGCCGACGAAATATATACGGTTACTAAAGAATATTTTACAAAGCAAGGTGAAGTCATGGGAAAAGAAATCCATTCAAAAGGAAGTGCTTCTGCGACACGGAAAACCCCTGCAGCAGGGACAACACTAGATTCCGAAAGTACTATTTGGAAAATGTTGATACCAACTGAAAAATACTTCGGATTAGAAAACGTTCTTTCAGGGAACGAAACTGCAAAGGATGAAACACTTATACTACATTATACTAAAGAACCTCCTATGGAAAAGCTAAGGCTGAAGGAAAATGAGCGCATGCTTTCTGAAGAATTAATTGAGAAAGGCGATATATATACTAGGATGGTGAAAGGTGAAGGACACCTAAGTAAGTGTGTTAGTGATGATGCATCCACAGTAACATCTGCTACTGAAAGACCGGAACTAGATTTCTTGAAGAATGGGACTGGTGAACTCGAAGTAATTCTTCTATCACCTTATGAAGGATTGAGCAAATCTGAAGTATTACTCCCTGGTGAATTGAATATCACAGATATACTGCTGGAGAATACTAAGAAATTCACAGCTTCTTTTGATGGATTAAGTGAAAATAGCAAAGAGAGAGCGTGTGAAGTTAAAATCGTCAGGGAAAGTATAATACCGTCCAGTATCAATGAATCAAAAGAACCGCTCTTATCAGAGCGGAAAATTATTGTCACCGAAACTGGCTTGATTAAAAGAATAAATGTATTGGAGACATCACCTGTCGAAGGAAAAATAAAGCTAAGGGAAGCATCTGTGGTAAGAACTGAAATAAGCAAAGAGATTTTAAAAACAGAAAGATTAAAAGAAGAGGTAGACATAATAAGTATGACTCGAGAGGAAGATCCCATTAAGCAACAGAAGAAATCATCTGCACTGTTGCAGACGATAACAGTTCAAAATATGTGTGACTTGCGTACTGGCCGAGAAATGTCTGTAAGATATAAGGATACTCCTTTTATGGTCACTGTAGGGCCAGTTTTGACACAAGTAAAAGAAGTCAAGGAACCTGTGCCAGGAGCAGCTTTCAAAAAAAATGAAGCAAAGGGTGTTATTAATTTTGATATTGTAATGCAATTAGAAGTGAAAGAAGACGAAGCCGGTTCGACAAAAACCGACGAGGCTTATGCAGTCAAAATTGGATTGCTTGAAAGGGGTGGCTTCGGTGGCGATGAGAGTTGGGAAGGTAGAAAAACGAGTGAGCAGATTGCAAAGAATATTGTCGATGTAATCGACGAAGATGAAAAATGCCTAGAAAATGAAGCCAAAAGAGTGGTAGAAAATATGACTGCTGAAGGTGCTATAGATAAAACAGAAACAGCTTTCAAGAAAGATGATTTCGGAAATATATGTACGTCAAAAAATCACTTACTTATCGAAACATCATCACAAAAGCAAATAATACATTTTCCAAAGGCAAAAGCTTGTTGTCACGAGAAACAACAGGGAGATTCAGAAGAAGGTGAAACGACTAATTTTGAACCCATATTGTCAGAACGAGTTGAAATTACTTCAGAAGAAGAAACATCCACTGAAGTTGCAGAAGGAACAATAAATAATGAGTGGACGGAAACGGCGAGGCAAGAAGAGATGCATTATACACAAGGCACTTCGGTAGAATGGATGCTTAAAGATGAGAAGTCTCAACTGCAAGAAGTTGAAATGGATAAGCCAAAAATGATCATCTTGGGAAAGGAAAAACAATTTGATGAAATGGGAGATAAAATGAAGCATGCAGGGAAAGATCATTGCTATTCGCAGATCACTTCAGAGGAAGCCATGGGTAAGCTGGAACGGTTGCGACCTACAGAACCATATGTTGAACTATCTGCCATTGCAAGAACGTCACAAATGCAAAAGTATAAATCTGAGGGTAGTGAAACATTCATACAACGAGTAGGTAGCAAAAAATTTCCTGTACTAAAAAAAACATATCGTCCAACTGAAGATATAGAGATTACTGAACAACATAAAGTATGGGCATATCACGAGCCGGCGAGTATGGAAATCTCAACTCAAGAGGAAATGCTGACAAAGCAAGAAGCTGAAGATGGAAAGAGCTCTGTACTCAAAGAGGTACTAGAAGTAGAGGGTAAAGAATCGGTAATCAAGTCCAGATTATATGCACAGGCTTCAGCTGACGAACTAGATGCAAGCGAAAGAGATCAAATTTGCAGTAAAAATTTGCAGTTCAAAAAGGAAGAAGATTCATCCGCACAAGAACCTAAAAACCCTGATAAGAAAGAGGGCAGAGTATCTGTAGTGGTCACCACACCAACAGTAGCCCCCGCCACTAGCGCTACTGTTATTTATAATCACATTCCGGAAATTCCGAGACGTGAAGAGGGAAAAATTGAAACAGGAAAAGAGACATCACTGATAGATAGAGAGACCGTTTCTGAATATTTGTCAGACATCGATACTGATTTCAAGAATGAAAAAGAAGCAGTAGTCCACATAAAGCAGCAGGAAGAGTTGCAGCTAATATCGGGGTACAGAAATAAGGACAAATGCGAAAAATATGAAGACATCTTAAAAAATGATAAAGTGCAAGACCAGCTGGAGGGGAGACTTGCTCATACAAAAGATTTTGTTGAAGACTTTTTTGAATCAAGCTCTTTAAAGCTATTTTCGGATCAACGCTCTGGAAAAGTAAATGCTCTGCGACCTCACATTTCTCTAAGCAATATATCTTCGACAGGTTGGTTGCAAAAACAGGGAAAGAGGGTGGAATTGTTGCGTACAACATCCATATGTGCACTTAATTATGAAATGAGCAGCGAAGGTGAGCAGTTAGAACAGGAAAGTGACTCCTATAAAAGCACTAGTAAAGAAGAAAAAAGGGAGGAAGAAGAAGAGGTAGGTGACATGAAATTGCAGCAAATCAAAGTAGTAGAATGCTCAGAAAACGAAGTGAAGGAAGTGGAGGAAATTCCAAGTAAATGCTCACGACTTACAACAGTAGTTGGAACTGAAGGAGAATCTATAAAGTCAAAGAATGTGGAAGTTTCCACGACACTGCTTGGGACAGAAGAATTCTCGAAAACTGACGCAATTGTGGAAGGGCCCTCAGAAAGTGTAAATGATGAACTTGGGTATAATAAGGAAATGGACGAACGTTTGAAGGGATATAAAAAAGATAAAGGGGATGAAAACATGAAAAGAAATGGTGAGATTTGCGGAGATCGAGCTCATCCTGAAGAAGTTAGAGAAAGCATTTTAGACAGATCCAAAATTCTGACTGAAACAACGGAATTATCTAGATTACCGTACAAAGAAGTAGATTGGAAAGACTCAAGAACGGTGGACGAAAAGCGACAAGTTAAAACGGCCGGAGAAAAAGTTTACGAAGATAGATTACATTTTCGTGGTTCGCTTCGTGATTCAGTAAAAAGAGAAGAGCATAAACAGACACCAGAATATATTGAATCAACAGTTGAAACGGAGGAAGAATGGAACAGTAAAAGCGTGGAAACCATAAAAGAGGGACCTGCTGAAATGGGAGAGTCTCCCATACTTCACTCAAAATGGCCAAAAATGGAAAAATCAGTGCAGGAAGTTTTAATATCCGTTGTAGGGGAACGAC